CACACACACACACACACACACACACACACACACACACACACACACACTTGTCATTGATAAAATAAAATTCATACTATAAATTCAATTATATTTGGGTTCAATTAAATTTATACTATGCATTTAATTATATTTATATTAAATAAATTCCACACTTGGTTTTCTACATAAAATATCTTCGGTATGGAAACTCTACTTTAAAGACGGAAGGTTGCTCCAAAATGTCGAGTGGCACTGTATATGAATATATGTATACTTTTTTGTTTAAATATATACATATTCATTTATCTGTTTATATATATATGTATGTATGTATATATATTCTTTCGTATATATATATATATATATATATCTGTAATAATTAATATACACACACGCGCTCGCGCGTTTACAGGATGCGTCGCGAATCGGTCGCGTGTTATCTTTGTACGATTATCACTGAAACAAGGGGGAGGGGGCGTGAAAGATCGCTTCAGTTGTACTAAGGCAATCGGATTTTTCGCTGAGAGAAATGTTCACCAAAATCTATACCGTGTAATTATTTAAAAAATTTCAAATAAAGAGTTCGCAGAAATTTCTAATTTCAAAGGAAAGAAACAACAATTAATATTGTAACTCGACAGGCGATTTGTAGCTTAAATCTTTGTGCTTCGAATTTTATACCCGATGGATACGAAGATATATGTGGACAAAATAACGAGTAATCGACGAGGTGACTTTTTTGTTACATTGTCACAAGCCTGAATCGATCTACATCGATAATTGTTTAACTCGAAAAATCCGACTCGCGCCTGAGATATATACATTTACATATATAGATATTTTGAACGTGCACCTTACAGATTATAGTCGTGTAACCCGGTTCCCGACGCACCCTTTCGAACGCCATAATTATTCGTAAACGCGCTCCACGAAAACGAGCGGGACTTTTATATGCGCGAATTAAAAAATAAACGATCCACGTTCGTTTCGTCAGAGTGCTGAGATCTGCTGAGGGTGTCGAACGACTTTCGTCTATTTGTGGCGTGAAACTAGTAGTCAGATAAAATACTATTTCGTCTTTTTTGTTTTTATACATACATATATACATCATATATACGTATATTAATTCATCAAATTGGGAATGACGATCTGTTACCTACGTTCTTTGTCGTCGCTACGGTTTTGCAATTTAATCCTTTTAAAACGTTGCGTAAATATATATGTGTACTCTTCTGCTATCTATTTTTTTTTTCACCTGTTTTTCGATTCATCGCCACTACTGTTTCCATTGCTATTTTATTCGAGATTCTACGACGAAGAGAAAGAACTGTGTGTGTTTCTAGCACTCTTGAAACGAGAGTTTTGCTACCAGCCGTCAAAATAGTATCTTACCCGCTTCTAGAAACTAGACAACGAAGATTCGAGGAGGATAGACGCGTTTTTCTTCCGGTTTTTAGGCACTTAAACGTCGGGAGTAGTGTTGGGAACCTTAAGGTGGAGGTCCATCGAACGCCTGCTATTTTCTATTTACAGTCTTGATTGAAACGCGTGTTACTGCTCGAATCTGGAAAGATCGCTTCTGAACGATAGTTAGTATGTGAGAAAATTTTCGAATAACTGTTTCGTGTCGTTTACGAAATTTTTCACCCATTTAATGTCCCATATTTATTCGCGGATTTATTCAAATGAAAATTTAATCAGAGGCAATCTCTCCAGGTCCCTAGTATACATCTTCCGGGAGGAATTGCATTTCGACGAACAACATCACGTATCGATTTCCCTAATCCAATAATTATGAAATAAAAATGAAAAAAATCTCGGGTAATGAACAAAAGTTGTAATAATTAAGTTGCAATCACTCTACGAGGTACAGTTTTTTGAATAAATGAATTGCAGCTATTGCACAGCTTGGGGTACAGTGGCCCAAATGAACATCTATTGTTATCAGAATGTTCGAGCACCGTTAAAAAATAATTCCGGCCAAACAATGATACGGATATTGTTCGTCAGAATAGAAAAGTAACCGTCTGTACGCTATACCTAGCTAAAAATAAGCACAAAAGAAAAACAGACGCATTCAGGCCGAACGTATGCAGAATTAATCTGTATCGCATTCACAGACACACACGCGCGCGCGCGCACGCATCGTGCGCTATACCAAAATACAGTTACGTCTCCTACAGAGTAATCGATTCTTTCGATATACAATATAATATACATATTATATATAAAAATCGAAGCGCATATTACAACGGTAATTCGCGACCGCGAACGTTAATTATAATTAATTAGCAATAATCAATAGTCGATGAAATGGTAATGAAACCATAGTAGTAATAATAATATTAATAAAACAGAAATTTATAGTAATTATTAGTACAATATATGCACACATAAAAATGGCATTATATTCGTTCCTCCTTTTTTTTCATCAATTTTTTATATTCCCCGCTCTTCGTTACGTTTATTTATCAATTTAGTCGTTCCTTACGCCTGATACACACGCATACATATTAGGTGCATATGTATAACGTTGGAACAACTTTAACACTTTGCGTTACTTCGACTGGTAGTCCATCCACACTATGATATATTCGTTTAAATTCAATTTAAATATCTTTGCATCTTACATTCGCTTTTAATGACTTTTTACAACAATTTTACACTCGAGATTCAAATATAAAAGTGTGTGTACCAACCATTGCTTAGATAATCACGCGTTGTGTAACATGGATGCGTGCAAATCGGGTTTAACAACCTTCAGACTTATTCCACCGGTGAGATTCTTTAATTTACAACTTAACAATACTTTTTCAGTAACTCTACATGTCCTTGCAATCTTATTTCAGTAATTATGAACCTTATGAAATTAAAGTAATTTGACGTGGTTGAAAGGTCGCGGTATGGACTCGTGCGCATCCGTGTTACGCAGCCCGTTTTGGAGCTGAAAGTAACTTGATCAACCTAAATATCAACGATTTGTGTATTTAATTTTCCTGCAACGTGACAAAGTTGCACCAACGTGGAATTCACAGAACATCCAGTATATATTTCGTCGGGACGTGCGGATACACGCGTGCACGTCGCAAGTTAAAGACTAGCAATGATGGTTCTCTTAAAAAGACTACATCGTAATTAGGTAAAACTGTTTACGCCGCAGACGCAGCTGATTATCCTAGAAGTATATTTATCGATAAATTCTTTTTACTAAAATATAATTATTATGGTATTTCGTGTCACGCCAGTGACCAGTTTTTTTTTTTTTCTTAAAGAAAAAGTTAACGTCTGTTCGAACAGTGAGAATCGTGACAGTGATGGCGCTGTATTGGTGAGTAAATATATTGGTGAACTTTAAATGCTTAAAGAATGTAAACGTTGTGTTCGTGTAATTTATATAATTTATATACGCATTACACACGTGTATATGTTTTTTATAAACAATGCAACGAGTCTTTTTCGATTAAAGAAATGCTTTGAAACATTCACAAGTACATATCAAACGTTAACAAGACGTCACTATTAAAAAGTTGTATGTCTTATATCTGTGGACCATTATCCTGGACCAACGTGTGTGAAGTAAAACACTTCTAAATTCAGTTCACGTAATATCAGTAAAAAACGAAGTAGAAATAGGCAGTAGTTTCAATGTTAGACGAGTCTTTTGATGAATTGGCAGTAACAGTAAACAGGCAGTGTTTCGAGGTTATGGCACCATCATAGGGTCTGATTCTCGCAGTTATCAGATTAGCATGTTCGAACATGAGAGGCAATGTAACAGAGTTCAGATTTGAGCAATACAGAAATCTGAGACACAAACATTTGTCACCCATCAGACGCAACTGGCGCAACATGCAGAATAAAGATCGAGACTCTGTCGCTCCACGCCACGATTTATTTTGGCAATTATTGTACTCTCTTATATTTACAAGGTCTATCATACACGTAATATACAATCATGTGTCGAGCGTTAAAGGCAAACACACAAGTACACCCCAATTCGCTGTCCACCTCGTCGCTTTTCGTCTGAAAATAAAACGGGACTCGCTGGTTAAAAATCCGTATCTCTCCTTCTCTTGTGGTCAGAATACACGGGTAAACTAATTAGCTGTTTCTATCTCAGACTCTCTTATCTTTCTATCTTTCACTTGTACCACTTTCGTCCAACCCTTTGTGATCCAGATTTTCTGATTTCGTTACAATTTTGTCGAGTCCCACTCGACACAGGACTGCAAAGGGTTAATTGAGTACTTCTCGTCGAAAACGACGAAGGTTCTCTGGCAGTAATGAGCAAAATTTTTATTCTACTTTAATTCTATTTTCTACTTTCAGGGATACTGCTCATATATTCAATTGTCTAAACAATATTGAATAATAAATGAGTAACCAATGAAGAAAAAATATGGTTGATATAGTAGTCATCAAAATTTTGCTCATCTCTGATTACTGATTCACGACATTCTTGGAAAATATATATCGTCGTATTTCCCTGAAGAAAAAATATCTCTGACTCTGCGACAGACACATGGAACGATGGCCACTTCGAATCCTATGATAAAAGGAATCGAACCCAAGAGAAGAGCGCATGCACATACGGGCTAATTGTCTCTAAGCTCTGAAAAATAGTTTTTTCATTCAATTGTCCTTAATTGATACAGGCCTGGCCATGAGAGATGTCCGTCCTTTTGATCTCAACTTTAACTCCTTCCTTGACAAAAGATGCTTTCAGAAATTTGTGTGCATTAATGTGTGCCACTTTATACAACTCTGTATATGTAGTTCCATGCAAATACTCTAGAATCAATTTAGCATCTATGTGCAATCATGTCTTGGGTATTCTCGAAATCTCGCCTTACATTATCGTCCGTAATTCCAAGAAACTTCTGGAGGGAGTCTCGAGAGAGTCTGCCAAAACTTCTTACAAGAGTATGCTTTCTGCCCTGATTCAGAATATGAACTCTCTCTAGATGTCGACGTGTGTATTGTAGGAAGAAAGAAAGTCCCTTGACTTGGGAATGAGCTTATTTTCTCCTTGCAATAACTATTGATTGATAAAATTTGTTGTCTGTCCTGAGAAATGCACAGAGATCCGAGAAACTGACGTGTTAAAAGGCTGAATCGGTTCAACGTTACATGCCCTGTGCTTACATGACGTGTGATCGATTAAAATATAGATTATGTTCACTTCGAATACAAAAATACAATTCTCGTTTGGAGATCAACGGGTACGCGGAGGCCATAATCCACCTCCGTGCGATTCTTCTCTTACCGGTACAAGTGCACACTCACGTACATACATACACAAACAAATATAACGTGCACCTACTATGTTTAACTTTTTCAATGCTGTCGTATGTCCAGAAATGGCCAAATTTGAATAATCTTGCAATTTAAATAACATTATGGATATTATAAACTTATTAGAAACTTTCTATCAATTTTTTTTTATTTTTTATTTTTTTTTTTTTGATAAATTGATCACTTCAATACGTACTTGTGAACTTCTTATGAGTAAACAAAAAATATATACATCTCAAACTGAGTAAACTCGTTCTTTTTCGAAGTTGGTTAAACATCAAGAGAGTTGTTATTATTTTCTATATTGCTTTTTCTCGTGTGAGATACGATAATACAAAAAATAGCTTTCCGCGATCGTTCTTTTTCACAATAAAACTTCAACTACACCTGGACAACAGTTAACCATCTAGCAATGTTATTTATACCCTCTTTGTCATTAAGCATCCCGAGAAAGTAATTGATTAATGATTTACATATTCTCATGTGATGATTTTTGGAAAAGAGGATATCCTTTGCTGAAGCTTGAAGAAAAGTCATTGTGTCTCTAAGCATTAATAATAAATAAAATCTAAAATGTAGAAATGTACAATTTTCTAAATTCAAATATATTTTAGAATAAAATTGTTAATTTAGAATAAAATGAGATTTATCCAGATCTGACGAAAAATAGATCTCAACTTCCATTAATTAGACTAATTTAGAAACATAGGATAAACTGTGATATATCAGTCATCCTGCTAGTATGTTCCAGATATACTTCTCATGCCTGTTTAATTAATAGCTCTCCAGTTTTCGAAGTCGTCTGAGAAATACACTAATATTGAAACAAAAATATATTCCCAAATTTTCCAAAAATATATTTCCCGTTCCTCGCTGTATCTTCAACGAGATCAATGAAACCAGATAGTCATGTGTTCAATGCAGAATTGTAGAATAATCAAATGACTTTGTTTGAATAATAGATCTATAAATGACAGTGTAAATATCGTTCTTTAAACTAGAGTCTTGTCAGAATAATTTGAACTTGCTTTTATATCTTCCTGTCAGATTCTGATTGTGAGATTCTATGATAATGGAATCTCCAGTATGCAAACATTTGTTATGTGAACATTCTATTATATGAACCATACAATATGAATCAAAATTTTTCATCGACTAAAATAATTAGTATGTACATGTATTTAAATATATATAGTCAATTATGTATTGGAAACTTGTGTGAACCATTATTCAAACAAAACTCACTTCATTGGGGGATGATTTCATTCACTACAGCCAAACACTTCCCAAAACAAACACAAACGGTGTAGTACATTAGCAATGCCCCTGAATCGAATAATTCGCGAAATTTATAGCGACTAATGCCTACCCTAAATGCGTATCTTAAATCCCACTCTTGTCTTCCCTCTATGCGATAACCCCTTGAAATCTTTTATGTTTTACTGTTCTAATGGGACACAGAAGTCTATTCGCATTGATTGTTCGTCTAACTTTTTCGTCAACGACAACTCGCGATATTTAATTCATCTTCCAAATTCTAATTAAAATATCCAAATATACTCAAATTTCTGAAGAATTGAAAAATCCTAATCTAGCAGACACAAAGCGAAGAAACTGACAGACCAGGACCGGCTCGACAAGAAACGGAACCCGCCATCTATTGGCTGGTTAACCAATCAAAGGAAACCAGCTATTAGATATCACGTCTGTTCCACTGAGCTTTTAGCACTGAGAGAATGAAACGCCATAATAAGTGCCTTTCTCTAACAAACTGAGGAACTCGAAGGGTTGATGTAACTTCCATGGAAGTCCCAGAGTGTCAAGAGAAATCCGTTCCAAAGGAGTCAAGAGAAAATTCGTGGATGATCCTTAGCCACTCGACAGGACTAAGCTGTAAGCCTCTGACAATGTAGCTTCTGAGCTGCGCCTTCAGAAAGTTAACAAACGAACAGGCCAGCCATTCCACGCGAGTCGAAAATGGTGAAGGCTCGAAGCGTTAAAAGCACAGGCGTGTCTCGCGAGTGTGTAAATTGCGTAACCTATTAAAATACAGATCTTATGGCTCCTCGCATTTTCCCCATTACTTCGACCATCGCGTTTCGTGACATCCCTCTTTCCCTGTGTCGCATCCGCCTTAATAATATTAATAATTAACGTTACTCTTTGTTCTCCCTCCCTTTCGTCGTCAAATCTTCTAAAAATATGTCCTATATATATTTCTTCGTTTTCATTCGCTCCCCCCTCTCTCTGTCCGACGACAAATATCATCGACACGCATGCACACATCATAAATCGCTTGTACGTACGGTTTGCCTACGCCTATGTGTATTTGCAGAGTGAAACACGGACGGTAGCGCCTAAGAGAAGCTCACCCGAGTTTGTCGTCGATGTCGATCGTCTTGCGACACAATCTGCCATTTTCAGAGACATCAGAGAATCGAGAACTCCTTCGTCTGCTCGAAACTAACACTTCAATATCATGGTAATTGATAGCGATTGGACAATTCATCGCCAGTAACGTTGACACAGTGGATGTTGAATACTCTTTCGAATGCAGTCATCAACGTGGAAATTGACCATTTTTATGGCGTACAACTCTTTTGATAATGGAAGTCGCTGCCGATGCTAATGAGAAGACAACGCAGGATGTAGACTGCTTATCTGTGATACATACATTTAATTAAGAATAAACAGCCTATCATCTGCATCCCCTTCTACAGCAGTCCTTAGCTTCCATGACTTGCACGGTCCAGAAAAAATGTAGACAAATCTAATTCGTCATATAATTACATCGTACTAAGACTCTGTTCTCATACAAATCTACAGAGTGCTGCCCTGGAACCTTATAATTTTGCAAAACATCAAGGATTGCATTCGAAAGACTCAACATCTACGAATATATTTTCTTCGAGATCCCAAGGAACGAGAGTTTCGAGCGGACAGTAAACCCAATTGCGACTCGAGGCTATGCACACGTACCTAGATTCCCTTGTATACCTCCTGCACGCACACAATACATGCAACACCTCCTTTGTCTTCACTTGCGAGGAAATCAGGATGAATCGCACCGACTGGTCGAACTGGAATGGTTGACGTGTTTCGTTTAGAGGATGCAGACCTCCGTGACGCGCTGAATCGTGTTGATTCGTTCCGGGATCGAGTCCTGGGCGTCCTTGAATTCAGCGTTTTCCTATCCATTCGATCGTCGTCCTCAATCAGAAAGAGTTTTCCAATCTGCAGCGATTCTTTGTTCCTCTAGATAGACTTCCAGAGCTACAGTACTTGCAGGTAGCATCTCTGACAGGCTCTCCTGGGACGAATCGCGTTTTCAGGCCCGAGAAACGTCGTCTTTGATCGTCGATTCTCATCGTCTACCTCGAGTACTACTCTGTTCCAGCTACCCTTCCTCTTCCAACGCGTTCTTCCGGTATTCGTGCTCCAGCGACGCACTTGTCCTACAAGCTAATCTCGACACAGCCTCTTCGGAAACTATGGGCTATCTCCGTGGCCCAGCACCGCCTTCCCTCGACAGTTCGTAATCCGACCTCGTCGTCCTGGTCTCCGTTCAGACTGCGAGAGACAATTTACGTGAGCACCAGTGTTTGTGTTGTCCCCTCTAGAATCTATCCGACGGGCTCGCGATAGTCCTAGTCCCCCGACGAAGTCCACAGACACGGCGAACGCGACGCGATTCGCCAGTCCGACACTTGGCGAGCTTCCTGGCAGCGGGTTGCCTTCGGTTAGGAACAGACTCATGACCGCTTTGTCCCGCCTCGCGACGCGAGATTCAGGCCTGGTTCATGGGATGCCATTGAAGTCGGCCAGAGACTCTTCACAAATAGTCGTTCTCCACCGCCTGCGCGTCCTGGGACTTCAGGTTGGCCATTTCCTCCACAGTACCCTCCTCCACCTCTTGCTCGTCCACGAAGTTGATGCTACCAGCTTTGTACCAGACCACTATATCCACTACGAACGCCAGGACCAGGATACCACCCGTCGTACCTGGTGATCGATGAGAGGATTTTGTTAGACGATTGTTTATTTTGAGGTGGATGAGGATTTAGAAGTAGTGAAAAACGTGAAATGGAGTTCGGACGAAGGAGATGATGTTTGAGAATTTTTATTAGTTAAAACTTGATGTACTAGGACTCTTTTTATCATTCTTGTAGATGTCTTCCCTTTTTGATGAGTGGGAAGACAGGAGGCAAGTTGTGCTATCTAATTTAGAAGCTAAGCAGGTTTAATCGATGATTGTTTTGCATGTTGTGTATATAGGGAATCATGTAGTTTCTTCCAAGCACCTACCATGATAGAACATTCTGAAGATATTCGAGTCGTAAAGCCAGCAGGCGCCCCTTGAGCCGCAAGCGTATTCCCATACGAGACAAGCGGAGTCCACCACAGCACCATAAACTATAGGACACGGAACGTTACCTGGAACCAGAGAACCAACAGATTAGCACGTGGTAAATGCATTTCCTGAAGTCTCCTAGCCATCGATTTATAGGAAACTCTACCTGGGGGGTCTTCTCACTTCACGACTTTGGAAGGTGTGTCATTCTTCGCAACTTTTAATCTTTGCAATTTATATTTAAATAGATAATGAAACCTGTATCATTGATCTTCGAATTTACAAATATTTGTCATTGCTTGAAGAAAGGTAACTCGATGACTGAGAAGCGTTATTCCTACTTTAAACAGCCGTTACGATACAGTATTTCTGAAAGTATGTACAGTTTCGAACGGGTCCAATTAAACAGAGAGCGAAGGAGATAATTACCGAAGAGGCCAATGGCGAACTGTATGAGCCCCAAAGCCATGGCCTTGTCCCGCGGATCCACACACCGCAGGATCAACAGCATGGAGCCCACCTCGCTGGTCGAGTGGATGAAAACGAACACGGAGAACAGGACCATATAAACCCAAAAGTTACTGCACTCCAGCGGGCAGTAACCGATCGTCGCCGTGCTCGTTGTTTCCGGCATCGTTATGTTCGCCCCGATGCACTGGCAGTTGTAAAACTGTAAGTCGCGAAAGCTGGGATTATTAAGGCACGAGAAACGTCGGTGGTAACCATTGGATGACCGTGAACAAAGAGGAGAGGAGAAGGTAGAAATATGAGATACAAATTTCATTTTTTGTATCCTAGGGGTCACAGAGTAATCCTAGATTAGAAAACGAGGGCTTGCGGAACTTTTTGATTTTTAATTTAGGGGCGTTGGCGAACGCGTGGGTAGATAGTATACCACGTTTTATCTGTGTGCCTGGTAGGGAGGGTGGCACAGAATGACTCTAGATAGGAAAGCAAGATGAGAAACTGTGAGGAATTTCTGCTGGCTAAATATTACGACAAAATACTCGATGTGTGAAAATGGTCGATGAAAGTATTTGGGCTGTCTGGAAAGTCCACACCGATTTTTAGTCGGCGATACAGGTCTGAATATATCGGAATGGCTGAAAACAAATAACATGTGTATATTCCTTAACAGGTGGAAAGGTTGTGGAACAAAATGGTACATATATAATTCAATAAATATACACCAAAATTCAAATATGCCTTCGAATTTTTCTTAAAAATAGGCACGAACTTTCCGGACAACCCAATAGAAGGATTGACAATTTAATCGCGAACGATGTATCTGATCTTCGAATTGCGCAAGCAATCCGTGTCGCGCGAAATCCGAACAACTGGAAATGAAATGTGCTCCCGGCGGGCACGTTGAATTGCGAAAGTAATGACTCGCGGCGTTGCGCAATCAATGAAGCATTGTCTCGTCCACGCGAATAACGCGATTTCGCCCATAAATGGCAGAACGGCGAAACATTTCTGGCCTAGTTGCATGCTACTGTCGCCGACAATTACGACCGTTGCTGTTCCAATCCGCTGTACATATCAATATACCTCCCCTGCCGTCCCCTGCTATGACGTCATTCGCCGCGGACAATCGGAGAATGCAATCAACGCGCAGAATAGAGGACGAAGTTATTCGATTAGAATTAGACGCTACGTTGACGTAACGAGACAGCTGAACTGTTCTCGTTTAATCTCGCTGTTTCCTCCGAATTGCCGAGGTAGCAGTGTCGAGCATCGATTAATTACTACCGATAAACTAATTGAAATAAACCTCGATTCTAACTGAGAACAAGGATTCCATTTGCAGTTAGAAAATTAATTGACTCTGTGTTTGGTATTACGTTGATCCGATACCGTTTACAATAATGCACGAATTTTATCTCATCGAATTTAGTTTTAATTTTTGATTTACAGTATGATCAAATGACGAGTGTCATTTAAGTTGAAATTACTGGAGCTTGTTTAGACTATTTCCGATTAATCACAATGTTACTCACCGTAGTCACCTTGCCGTCGAGCACAGTGTAATTCGAACAGCCCGCATGACACGCGGAAAAATAGGTTTTCCCATCAGCACCGCAAATCGGACTGAACTTGTTCCTATCGCAGTCGCAGGTAGCATCGCAGGTCGGCTCGAAACTGGACAATCTACAAGGTGTCATTTGTTAAACTCTAAATACCCCTTCTTAACAAATCCCTACGATATTCATCACTACGCACGATATCACACTTGTATCATCTATGAATGAATATGAATGAATATCTTAATAAACTATATATTTAAAATGTCCTCAAGTGCAATGTTATCGTGGAAACTCTGACGATACAATTCCAAAACACCATAAAATTCCCAGTCTTCGATGGCCCCACAGAAATGACTAGAAAATCAATGATACCAATAATGGTAATTTATGCAAACCGTGCGTTAACCAGTTACAATTAGCCACGGACACGAGGGTAATGCCAATCAATTAACGTTTAATCGAAGAGTGGTAGCCGAAGAAGGTAGAAATTGAGGTTCTTACCCGTTGGAATGAGAAACAAGACCAGCGAAATCGTCCATCGGGCAGCCGATGAACATCAGCACACACATGCCGAACGCGTAAACAACCGCTGTGAAGGCGATCCAGGCTGCGACAAACCTGGCGTTAGGCTTTGCCTTCAGGATAAACACTCCGCTAATTATAATACCCAGACCCATTACTAAAATGCCACCGACACCTGCGAACAAAACCAAAACGAAAGCAATGAGACCAACCCCTCGACTCGTATCACGCAGGATCACCGCTCGATTCCCCGATCGCGTGCAACGTTTCGTCCTTTCAACTTTAATTTTCGTCTCCTGTCGCTCAAAACCCTTGGACACACCTGCTTCGTGCCCATTGTCTCGCATTTCGTATTGTACCAAATTATGCTGAGTCGTGCGATGATATTTGTGATGTCTTTGAAGACAGCAATCACATTGATCCGAGGTAGGGTGTCTTTGGAGAATTAATTTAAGGAAAATGGGTGCAAATACGGGACCTTTTTTGTTGTAAAATGTTTGTGTATATCTTGAAGATTAACAAAAATATTTGTTTGGTTTTATATGTGCGCGTGGTAAAAATGGCCTGGGCGTGGGGTTGATTGAAGGGCCATTTTTCAGAAGTGTAGGATTTGCAGTGATTTTAGCTTTAAAAATAAATATATTAAAATTTCCTTCGAGATCATTATTATGGAAAGTCTGACTTTTCCTCGGACAATATAAACTCTCTTTATAGCCACGAAGTAGAGTATCCATTGAAAAGGGCTGAAAGCGTTACCTTTCATGCTTCATTTATACATTATTGACACAAATGAAGCCACTAATCATATTTATATATTCAAGTGCAATTACGTTATATTATATTACGTAGCAAGAAGTGTGAATGTTTGAGAAACTCGAGAGGAGAGAAGTTGTCGGTCCTGGAGGTCCTGGAGTTGTCGGGCCAGGAGGGACCCCCTCGCGTGTCTATTCGCGAAAATTACCTGAGATCATGTTCGCATGATGAGCTGGCAAGCGAAATTGGCTCTCGAGGTACTTTGGCAGGAAGGTGTAGAGGCCGGCGATCGGTAGGATGTGCAGCACGCTGCTGGCCGTCCGGAACATAAGAATGTCGTTCTTCAACAGCCTCTTCACCGCTTTAGGGAAGTCTGCAACAGGTAGAGAGAAGCTGCGCTGTAGCCGTTGCACCGTGTACAAGCAACGTCGCGAACTCTAACCGCGCAATTTACATGGATGGACAATCCTCGAAAATGGTGATTTTTAGCCACCCCAATAAACTCCTCTACCAGAATTAATTTAGAGGAAACGAATGCAAATCTGGACTTGTCCTTTCATGGAGCGATTACGCGCGCCTTAAAGTATAAAAAAATATTTTTCAGTTGCATATTTGCATGTTTAAAATAGCGCTGTGCATGGATGTTTAAAGGGTTAAGAGGCTGTTAAGAGGCTTTTCGTAAGCAGCTTACTTCATTTTTAATTCATGTGTATGTAACTGATTTTTTGTCTATTCTTTAAGGTACGTAGAAACACTGCGTAAAAGGATAAATACCTCCATCGTTTATGTTTCTATAAACGCATGCTCTACCCTCGCATCGAAATCACCTCATCCGTTAATCCCACTTTTGATTACTCTTCGCGTCAACGCCAAGGATCCTCGCGAAATTGAAATATAATTCAATAAAGGAATTCATCGAGTCTCGTGCCAGATTTCACAAAGAAAAATGGAACTGCGGATACGTCAAAACACTATCTTCCCAACGAAATGAAAAGTACACTTCCTTTTCTGATATTACCGATTCGTCCTCTTCGATCTCCATTTTCCTTTTCCATATCGCAAAACTCGATTCGCAGGATCTCAACGTTCCATTAATGTATGCGTACCAGATTACGAATGGCGAGTTAATCAGTCGACGATCGAGTTTCCGTTTTTTCTTTCTATCATCGGAGGGACACAGAGACACGCGTTTCGCGGAGAGGAAAAGGGAGTAGTCGGCTGGCACGTCTCGCGAGCTCGAAAAACGAGAAAATTGACGTACAGAGGATGGAGGAAGGAAGCTGCAACAACGATAGGAGAACGGGTATCGATCTCTTGACGCTAGCGTGATAAAACTCCTGTCGAACGGCCATGTTTACGTTGATATTTCGAAAAGATTCGCGACAAGTTCCCTCCTTAAAAGTTCGTCTCTTTGCTCGCAATTAAACAGTTATACTCTGCCATACTGTCTACCAACCGGACGGCTCGGTTAGTCTTTGCGTCGGGGCTCTTGTATCTTCATCGGAATTACATCCATTATCTTATCGGCTCGAGATTCTCTGCAACGTTCACGGTGGACATGCCTGGATCTCCATCCTGGTTTGCAACCAGTATTATCTTTATAGCGAACGACCACCGTGGAAAAATTGGATGCTGGATAGAGCGTGGATGAGTCGTTAAATCTTCGTTGCGTATTTCTTTTTGCGCGGCATTGAGCGTGATTTTATGGCAATTTTAATAGCGATTGACTGGGGAAAGCACGAGGAACGTTTAGTGATCGTGTTGAGATATGCGTTATGAATCTTTGGGTTACTTTACTCTCCAGTTTCTTGAGGAGTGGTAAAGCATTTCTCTTCTGTGAATATTCGTATACAGAATTTACGAATCAATGGATGATTGCAAGAATATACTATAAATTGTACCTCTTGCATTTTGAAAATCGTCCTTAGAGAATAGCAAATGAAACCAAACAAGATAATTTCTTCCTCTAAATTCTAAAAATTCAGGACTGGAAAGGACCACGATGTACAGGCTGTAACGTAATATACGAGGCCAATTTCAGGGTTGAATAGCAATGAAACAATGAAGAGGCCTTCGAATCGACTAGAGTGGCAGCGAGAGTGAAAGACTCTCTCTCTCTCTCTCTAGAATACGAAAGGGAAACGACTCCAAAAGCGGAAAGTAAAAAGTAAGATGAGGCATCTGCGGCGCAATTAGACGAACCGTCAATTTCGGGAACGGGTAGCGAAAAAAAAAAAGGAGTATCGGGGCCATGAAACCGGAGAGGGGGTGAGGGAAGCGGAGCAGAGAGAGGACGAAGAAACGATGCACGCGCTGCATCTTCGTGCCAAGGTTCCCGTTCTTAAAACCCTCGGTGGAAACTGGCATTAAGGATGCCTAGGACTGCTCTAGGCTTCCTGGAAGGCCTGGCTAGAGTCGTGGCAACCCCGCATAGAGACGTCCTGCAGACCATGAGTAGACAAACGTGACTAACATTGCGCTCCGTGTATTATCGCGACAACCCTGCAAGCGAGCATATACAGGGTGGCCTATCTCGAAATGCCTCTTCTAAGATCCTTAGGGATGCACAAAGTACCATACGTATGTTTATTACATTCAATTTTTAGTGGAAAATATTTCATTTCTCCCGAATTAAGAAAGCCTCTGAAAATAGTAAATTAAAAATGTAAAAGATTTTCTGAATCTGTTCTTGGTAGTGGAAACAAATACCGCTGAAGCCATTTTCAGATTAAAGCTTCGACCTGGCTAAATCGATGGAAACAAATTGCAACTCCGAGAATATTGTTCAAGCTTCTGGGTGTTCGACCAGCGATTTCAAGCTGGGATCTTCGCGTGCAGCTCGACTTGGGAGCCCGTTCGTATAGGTTCGCCTAGTAATACGCGAATCGCGTGCGTCCACGCGACTCTATTCCCCGGTAACGTCCTATCAAGTAATTCTCCTGCATTCCATGAAGTACCTAGCGACGACTCCGCACGCGGAAGTTTCCACTGAATTGATGGCGCCAATAATTTCAGGATGTTCCGCGGTTTCTAAGACGCGAGGCAATTGACTGACAGTTAGCCTGCGATGGGAACAGGTTTCCACGAAGTTTGCGCAAACCTGAAGCACAGGTGTCTTCCACTTTGTGCATTATTTCCATGAATTAGCTAGACGTCAGTGTTCTTTTTCGCGAAAATGGAATCAAGAATTTCGCTGGCGTCGAATGAATAAAAATACGATGGAAAAGGAAGGTTTCGAATTTGGTGGATTTGAATTTTTGTTTGGAAGGGAAAGAATCAACTACTTTTGTATAATCAAGCAAGTGTTTAAAATAAATATATAATTAAAAAGTGAAGTCCTTTGAAAATATTCATCGAAAGTAATTCACAAAATCCAAAATGCTGTCGTTGTTTACACGAGCAACACTTGAGCTCGGTTTCACTTACGAAAAACAGAAGATAGAAGCCTAAAATCAAAGTAAATATCGAATCCATTTTCAAATATAAATGCCCACAAACAATTAAAAAAAAAATTCCGCTATATAGGAACCATTTTCGAAATGCTTACAGATATTGAGACCCAATTGCTAACATCTGGAACCACAGAGTAAACAAACTTCGAATTCATTCTCGAATTTAAATACCCACGAAGATAATTGAAGAAAATTTGTTTGTGGAAGTGGGTATATCTGGGGATTTCTGGTCTCCCCGTAGCGGCACGTGCACGTAGGAGTAAGGTACGGCGGGTGTGCGGACGCACGGTGCCCCGTGTGTGCGTTAATAATGATGACTGACCGACTGGTGCACTAGGTGGGGCAAGTTCACGGTCATGCGTCGTGCATAGCGCTTGGTAGGCACGCGCGCGTGCATTTCTCCGTGCATATACGGCCGTGTTCTTCTGCGCGCGGATCCGCTCCTCGCGAGAGGGAGACTTATCTCAGCTGTCTCGTGCACCTCGGCCGACATAACACGCGCGACGTAACGCACCAGAAATGCGCCGCGACGCGGGCACACCGAAGCTGCCGACGATTTTCGTGCGACGATCGACAGCCGCGATTCCGACACCCGCCCGTCTGGAGAAAGTGTCTTCTTCTTTTTCCGCGCGGGCCAACTCGTTTTCTGACAGGGGGCTCACTTTGACGCGTTCTACGGGGTGTTCCAGTTGAAAACGAACGCCCCACCGTGGGTTATCGTGGTCGAAACGCGATACTTTGGGAATTTTTAGGGGATTTTCGGAACTTATAACTCGAACGCTTTCGGAATTTCGTGATATGAGAATTGTATGCGAACAAATTTGGAGACTTTGCAGAGTTGTTTGTAGGTGTTTTAGAAGGGTGTATGATTTTTTTTTCATATAGAATTACGTAAGAGTTTGGGAGATAAAGGATGTTGTGTATATGACACTTCTTTCTGAATTTACATTCTAGGGACAGTTTTGGAATTTTATAATGAAGAAACTATGTGTGTCAAAATTTCGAGGATTTGGGCTGTTATTTGTACATATCTCGAGAAGTTAAGTGATTTTTTTCACCGAGAAATATGTAAGAGTTTGGAAGATACAGGATCCTTCCGAGGCAGCTGTTTCCATCCGGTACACCGTGTACACCGGGAATCAATGAATTTGCATATCAGTGAATACACAACGCCCGGCGAAAGTGTTCGTGAAAACATCGTCAACCGTTCGTCGATGATTTCAACGCAATCCTGGCAAACGGGCGGGAGAAACTAGCTAAACATGGTTACAAAGTAGGCGGACAATGTCACTTCTAAACGACGCTGTGCAACGGAGATGCGCTGCAGCGCGTGCTGCACCAGAACGAACTAGTTGCATTATCGATGCTACTCGCGGTGCATTTCGAGCAGCCGCCTCTTTCAGGAGTAACATTCAGTAAAATTGTCGGTTACAAGCGAGAGACTTATGAAATATGCAACAACGTGTCACTGGAATTCCTGATTTATGAATGTTTTACGCTCGTTCTCATTCTGATGCGGTCTCGTTTAAACCTTTTCGAATAACTGTTGGTTTATTAATGCAGGCAGTGTCCGTCGTTAATGAAGTAATTGTTTCGAGATAGCATAGATGCCAAATCAAATATGGTAAAAATTTGAAGCTTTCTACTTTTTAAATGGGATAGATAAGTGAAAAAAATGGAAACGTCGTAGCATGATTTTCACGGCACACATAAGCGGCGCGCTCTGAAAAGAGGACTGAAGACTAGAGACCTTCAAAGAGACCTTCCCCTAATTATTTCGATGGAATAGAGTTGAAAACGAAGAGCTGATCCCTCTCCCAGACTGCACTCTTTTCCCGTCAACTTTTGCTGCGGGTCGCACATGTTGCACGACCTTCGATCCGAAGCTTCCAACGAAGCAGACCAAGAATAAACGGGCGGGAAGGGTCGCCCTTCCGTCGTTCCATAGCGAGGGGTTCCCAGAAAAGGGATCGACTGTGTTTCAGAAAACGCGTTCGGCCGAGTGTTCACGATCCAACGAGCAGACACGCCGACTCTGACCAAATTCGCCATTGACCTTGACTGCCGAGGTTCACGCTTCAAAGATCATCCCATTGGCCCGTCCTTTTCTACCGATCAACATCCGTCGAATGCATAATGCCCTTACTGTTCCTAAAGGAACGCGTCGCGTGTACACACTCCCACCGATGTGGATGAGAAACCAATCGATGAAACGTTCGTCTAACACTTGGACAGTATTTCTGGTTGAGGCAAGTGTTTTTAATTTTTGGGGGAAATTATAGATGTATCGTGCGACCAAGAGTCAATGTCAAAATAGGGTGAAGATAGAGAAAGGTTTCCAGGCGGAAGGAAGAGGCCTACTACAGATCCAAAATTTGTAAAAATTCCAGAAACCTACTATGCTTTCACTTGTAGGTCTTGGCTATACCACCAAGTCCACTCTGCGATCCTTTACGGTTCTACGCCGAGCGGGGGTCGACGAAAACGCATTGAAATTCGAAAACTCGTCAAAGAGTTAACGAAAGGCCTGGACTCCTGGAAGGAGTTAATGCGACCAAGAGTCAATGTCAAAATAAGGTGAAGATAGAAAAAAGGTTTCCAGGCGGAAGGAAGAGGCCTACTACAGATCCAAAATTTGTAAAAATTCCAGAAACCTACTATGCTTTCACTTGTAGGTCTTGGCTATACCACCAAGTCCACTCTGCGATCCTTTGCGGTTCTACGCCGAGCGGGGATCGACGAAAACGCAATGAAATTCGAAAACTCGTACCGCAAAGAGTTAATGGAAGGCCTGGAAGGATCGATGATACTTTTATCTTCTCCGTTGAATCTTCGCTGGGCAATTTCACGGGGCCAGCCACGAGACACGGGCTGAACGGCTTACGGGAAGCCATAAAATCAAATTAAACCGCCTCTGATCCGATGGCTCGTGCTTAAACACCAGCTTCCCTTGACGAACAATTCGCGTCGCAATAATAAATCAGGGCTTACCTCTGAGACTAGGCTTTTTGGAGTCCGGACGTTTCGGCGGCGTTCTGCTCGCGGGCAGTCGCGTCGGGAACGCGAACATTCCGAGGCTGACCAGCACCAGCATGGCGGATATTAGCACCAAACCTGAAACATCGAATTCCATCTCCTTTTTTCTCTCTTTCGCGTTGCTGGGAAGTTTGCTCGGTTGGCGTCAATGGCGTCCGATGGGCGAATTGAAAGGAAAATTTTTGGATGATGGTATTATAGAGGATCGAGTCATCAGATATGCACGGGTGATGAAGTTTCTTGTGATTTAATTTCTGTGGTATTTCGAAATCCTGGATAAGTGAGTCATGGTACGTAATATAAACCAGAGCAGTAGAAGGAGTATTTAAAGTCCGTGAGAGATCTCTTGAAAGTAACCAAACTGATGACTCGATTTTCTGCGAAATTGTATAAAATGGAAAGGAATAATAGGGACCACAAACATAACGACTCCGTATACAATGATCAAAACACGAAACACTCGATAAACGTATTCTTCTTTCTTCGATGTTTCAACCTCCATTCTAGGTACTCGACAGGAAATTTGTATAAGCCCTAATATAATTGCCAGAATAAATACTTGATCGCGTTTCAAACGTTCAAAGAAGAAACAATGTCTTGAATGTCCTGGAGAGCTTAATGACATCTGTTGGCTCACAATCGATGATCGTACAAAGAGAACAACGAAATGTTTCCACAATTTTGTAATCCAAGTATCTGTAATGTGATCGTTTGAACGGTACCATCTGTCGTTAGACGCAGCAGCGTTAGCAACCCAGCTATACCATGATTGCAACTCGACGTACTAATCCTAATGTCCATGACTTTCCCAAGAAGTAAAACGACTGGAAACTCCAGAGACGGGAGTCTCCAGCCACCATTAGAGGTTCTACAATGTTTAGAAGGCTAGAGTGCAAGTATCTTCTAAACTGGCATGCTTGGGAGCTTGTAGTGATTTATATACAAAGCTGGTAACTAATGAGGAAGTGGAAATAATTTTCTAGCAGGTAGACAAAAATTCTACAAAGTTCAGAAGGCTAAAGTCTGAGTGTCTTCCGAACCCGACATGCCTGGGAGCTCACGGTGATTGATGAATTTAGCTTCTACTAATTGACAAGGAAGTAGGAATATCGAACGCCAAAGTGAATATTAAAAGGTGACCTGGGCCCGAGGGAACATTGTTGAGAATGAATGGTAATTACACTTGAAGGCTCCTTATTCTTTTTGTGGAAATAAACAAGCAATGGATTTCAATTTACCCAGCCACCATGCTCCAACCCATCGCGGATCCTTCGGCGTGATTTGCGGATTCATCGACAAATCCGCATAAATCATCGTGCAAAATGAACCCAGGATAAACCCTAGGGCTGGACCGAGGATCCTCACTCCGATGGTAATCGCTGCAACAAAGTATACAGGCATAATGGCGTAATGCGCTATAGTTAATGCTTAGTACAAAGCACTTGATATAGTCGTAACTTTTTTATTTATAGTAACTTTTCTGAAGAGGAAAGAACTTTTTTCAATATTTTTTTGAATTCATATTGTAAAGGGAATGTTAAAAAACAATGTACGTTATTTCATCGCATTTCTGTTCATGTTTTTCTTGGAAGACTGTGTAATCCGAAGACGATCAAATTCTCACCAAAATACAGAGGACTTTCTCTGCTAGCCACGTTGTCATCGATGTAGGGAATCCCAAGGGTGTACACCGCCGTCTGGCCCATGCCAACCCCCAGCAGAGAGACGAAAAATATCGCCAAGACCACCGTGGTGATTTTGCTCTGTATGATCTGCTCCGTCTTGAACTTACCCTCGCAGTAATTCAACGCGTCACCTTGCGCTGTCGTGGACGAGAGCCTTAAATAAAAAGAAAATACTATCGCGTCATCACAGAGCAATAACTCGATCAATTCGATGCAACAATGATCGTATAATAAATATAACACATCGCGAAGTCAAATTGAATTCACTTTGATGAAATAAAATACAACAGAATTCATTTATATCGAATCAAATAAATTTTGATAAAATAAAATACAAACGTTTATTTTAATTAAAATGGCATGGCAGCTTCATCGAGCTTCCATTTATAAACAAGAGGCCAGCAAGCGGTGATTGAACGATGCCAGCGAGTGTCCCACTTAAAAAAAGGTTCGATCGATGGAGAAATGGGTCGGAGAAAATTGCAAAATTTTGAGAGCCCCGTCGAGAGTTTCGCTAAACACCCGTGAAAAATGGTGCTCGATCGGTGTGTCACGATTGCACATGTTTGCTTCGGGAAAATAATTTTGGATCTCGTTTATGCAACGACCCGTGACCGTTTCTAAGCTATTTACCCTATTAATTTAAAATTCTGATATTCGGAGTGATTTTACGGAGACTTTTTAGACGAACTACCACTTACCCGTTCAGCGTGAAGTTCTCTGACCGATCAGGGAGCGTGCAAAGGTAAGCAGGCACGGGGTCGGTGCTGTTCGGGTTCCCGTCCTCGCCCCTCGGCCCGACACCGCTGAAAATCATCTCGTTCTGATGGATCAGCTGTTCACCGAAGATGAAATGGGGCATCGAGCAGGTGAACGAGCTCACCGCGAAGAGGATCATGCCCCAAGCGATCCACTTAGGCCGGTGACCTTGGCCTCCGTAGTACGTGAGCAAGAGAGAGGAACCGATCTGACCGATCTCCGTCGCCGACATTATGATACCGGTGGTCTTCGACTGGATCTGGAAGAGCTTCTCGATCGTCGTGATTACCGAGACGAAGTATGTGTAGTACATGCCTTGGAGGACCTGTAATTATAAAAGCCATTGCTTGTGTATTGTACGATATTCGGTTCGTACGATGTGCTAATCATTTATGGTCCTCTGAGGGGAAATCAAGCGTACTACTACTTGTAACAAGTACTAATACTTATGTGTAGGGAAGTACTTGATTGATGAAACAGAGCACAGTGTCGATAGAGTAGAACACTCTGTCGTTAAAACAAAGTCTGCTGTCGATAAACCAGGGAAATCTGATGGTAAATCTGAGAACGCTATTGGTCGAACAGAGACTAATACCATCGATATAATAGAGAACTCTGAAGGTAAAATAAGACGCAGTGTTTTATCGACAACATGCTCTTTTTTTATCAAGTGTACTGATTCGACCGAATACCGCCACCAAACATGAAACACTGACCCAGGTGATGCAGAAGGTGACCAGGAAGGCCTGCTTCGTGGCAAAATATTGGAGCCAGCGCGGTCTGCAGGGACCCCAGCCACAGGAGACGTCGGCATCGTCGAACTCCGTGTGAAGGCTACTCGACTTCTCATCTGACATGATCAGCTTTCCGTTTTCCGTCCCGCCAATCTCGTGAAGCTTCCCATTCGGTATCGAGCCGTTGTTGTTGTGCTGTTTGCCACAAATCAGCCCGTTCCCATTCGCCATCTTCTGGGGGATTATCGTGAGGGCCTCGACGTTCCCGTTCGCCAGGATCTGCGTGTCCTCGCCCGCCATTGTCCTTCGAGGATGAACCAACACTCTGTTACCTCGCTTCTCTCTCGATTCCTTTATGCCTTCTCGCACCCTCTACCCGGGATTCTTCCTCGTGGGAGGACCCTCGCGGCCGCTCAGACCTTTTGCATTCGAACGGTCAACCTGAAATCATGAAAAAAAAAGATATTAGCAAAATTAGTCTCCATCGATTCTGCATTGTTTCAGAAGATTTGATGTATTTTAGCTTGTTCCTCGGAAGATAAATTGTTCCTTGACTATTACACAGTCGTTAAAACAGATCATGCTGTTGGTCAAACAGAGCATACCGTCGATAAACTAGAGAACTCTGACGGTAAAAGAACTCTCCTGATTCATCGACAGCTTGCTGTTGAACATTTATGCTACGATCTGATGTTGATACATCTATAGTCGAATCCTCAAAACCTGGTTCGTTTTCTTCGTTCTTTCGTCTTCCTATGACTTGTGCGCTATATCGTGGCTCGACGCAAAAAGTGACGGAGAGGAAAGGTGTCCAGGAATAAATCGTCAAAATCGCGGCCGCGATTTATCATTCGCTCAGGAGCGGTTTCGAGATGCACTTTGTATTTTTAAATGTCTAACTTATGTGCGTCACGGCATTATTTATAACGGCGAGCTCTCTCTTTCTCTGCGACTAACACCTACCACGTTTCCCCGAAATCGCGATTGGCTTTGTTCAGTGGCCAATGGAATTCCACGTTCTCAACCGACTTTTTCCTCTGTGTTGGGCCCGTAATTGATCCATGGGATCTTGCTTCAAGCGTGAACAAAAATTAAAAGTAATCGTAGCAATAAATAGCAACATTCATCGTTGACATTTAAGTATGAATGCTTTTGGGAGTCACTGTGGATGGCAGTTGTCCAAATTGTACAAGTTTGCAACGAGATGCTCGAGTTTAATGCACGCTTTTTCTGGAAAATAATTAGAGATCACAGGATCTGCGACAGCGAATACTGCGAACGAAACTGAGCAGAACGGAAACCATTCGCTGTCGGGCTCCTTTCACCCCATGATTGACAGAAAGGAAACAGACCGACTGGAACACCCTGTAGCCTGTATCCTCTCACTTTCGTCGGTGCCCGACTTTCCTCATTTCCCTCGCGTTCCATTGCACTGACCATCCTGCCGCCGCGGTTTTCACTGACAGTGAGTAGGAGTCTGCGGGCTAGAACGCGCATACGACCACGTAACGGGTGGCCAGAAAGTACCCACTATCCATTTCCTAATTTATCCTAAGGAATCATTGGAATTTTATTTTCACGGTACACCTTGCACGTGTAACATATGGATAGGATTAGATTCAATTATCTATGGAGGAAGTTGTACTACAATAAAGAATATTATTAACTTTCTCATTTTTTAAATTATATTAATTCAATATATATCTTTCTAATCTTTTTAATTATATTAACTTTCTTCAACTTCCAGCTATCTTGCTAAACTTGTCGAAATCGGGCACGAAACTCATCCGTTCGGCGTAACAGCGAGATTGTTTTCTTTAGCGAGCAGGAACGATTCGAGGGGTGTTGCCCCAGTGATGCTTCCTGTCGAATGGTTCCACGGATGATAATAAAACACGGTGAAACGTTGCGCGGACGGATTTTATTTGGACGTTAATTGGACGTCCACGGTGGCTGACCTCCGAAAGACCGTCTAAGAATACGAATGTGTTTACGGTGTAGTGTCGTTTCAGTGCGCCATTGACCCGTTAATGTTTAACGTCGTGGAGCGCACCGCGTCGCGTGTATTCCATGCGCGTCGGGCATACAACCTTCTGCGAATCAATTTATTCCAGCAGAACCCCGTGTAGTTCGACGAGAATTTATTGATTCCTGTCGACTATAAGATTTCGAGTGGACGTGATCTGCGACTTTTCCACCCTACCGTGACGCTAACAAAACCTAGACCTTGGTTTAGATACGTGGATGTCGAGACTCGTAGGGCTGGGACCTTGGAAACTCGAATAGAAAGAGAACAAAAATTCGTTAGAGGTACGATACTACAATTATTTCTATTTTCTTCTATTAGGTTGTCCCGAAAGTTTCTTTCGCGAGTTGCACTCAATTATTTTACGTGGTCGTGGTTATATAAACAGACAATCTAATTTCATAGATATTCATGTTGTAACAGTAATGGAGCAAAATGAACCGTGCACAATTCAGTACTGTAACATAAAACACAAAATATTGTGCATGTATTACTTATTAATAAAACGAAAGAAACTTTTTGGACAACCTAATATTTCTTGTACTTTGTGAGGGGTGTTTTATTCTGTCGATATGAGCTGGTAAGGTAGATTATCCTGCTAGCAACGTAGAACGGTTTGTTGATTAATCATTGCGACACTAATTTACTACGTTAGTTTCCTATTTTTGTGATCCACCCTCTACAGTCCCAGTTAAACTTGAAGAACATTGAAACCCTCATTAGGGGGCGATCCTCGGTTGGGAACGAGTCAGAGATTAAGAAGTTCAATTAGCTGAGAACTTTCGCCGGTTAAGGGGGGCAATGTCGACACACATATCGAAGCCTGCAATCGGAACGAAATCGAAAGGGCTACGAGAAGAGCACCAGCTCTCCTGTGCACGCTCCCGATGGCGAAACGCCGCCGCAGCGGTCGCCTTTTTACCGATCGTAAATCCTTTTCGGACAACTCGCCTCCCGAAGTGAAAACCTTCGCGGCAATGGGGCCCGATTCGCGATTCTGTCGCCCGCCATGGATGCCCCGTCGATGAATCACGTCTCGAAATCATCCTTTTAATCGTTCCACCGGCTGGCGTCGCGAATATTTTGCAAGAAATCGGCTCCATGAATATTCAACGCCGGAGGAATTCGACGATTCGCGATCTCTGATCCCGCACCTCGTCGGAAAGGTGTTCTCTGTTCCCGAGGATCTTTTTCTTAGGTCTGAGTTTGTTTGCAGGGGAATGGAGTCGAGGATAATTTTATCGGAATTAATTTAAAATTTATGAGGTTGTTTGCAAGCTTGGTTTAATATCTTTTGGAAGTCGGATGGAGTTATTAACTTGTTTAGTCGGTGTCAGACGTCGAGGGATATTCCGTTCGTAAAGCAGATCACGCAGTCGTTAAAATAGAATTTAGTGTCGTTAAAACAGAATTTGAATCAAGAGAATACCATGCTTTAACGACAATACGAAATAAGCTCGGATACAATTGTGAAATTCACGTGAATACTGTGATTTGTTCATTTAGTTGCTATAAATAACACGAGGTACACGAGGAATATTGTTTTTACGCGACAGGAAAAGAGGTGAGGAAATAAACGTTGCGGCATGAGTTGAAAAATACCGCACGGTCGATCGACGGTGATTTCTCGCGCGACCAATTAGGAATTCCTCGCGCATTGTGATTTCGTTCGGGATCTCATAGACTCCTGTGGAACCAGCTATGATGCAACGAGAAAAGAAATTTCCGGTAATAAATTGTCGTGGTATGCTTGCCGTAGGCTTGAATGGGGGACTCAAATATCACGTAAGAGGGAGCCCACGTGCGCACTTCTCCAACATAAACCTGGCAAACGGTTCTTCTAACACCTTGTAAACCGTCTTTTCATCGATAATCGAAAGTACATTATCTACTGCCAATCCAAGTAATAATTTAATGCTCGACAAGGCTAATTTGGACACACTAGAAATTCTTGATATAGTTTTTCATAACTCATATATATATATAACTAGTTATATAGGGTGAGTATTAATTAATGTATAGGCCGTGTAAATAACCAAGTGTTAGTTTCTTCTTTAATGATAAAATAAAATGAATACGAGGCTGGTTTGTCAACTTTTGAATCGTCGCGGTGATCTGATTGGATTTCGTTTGTATCAAAACAGAAGGCATGCCTCGGGAGATGCAACATGCGAACACCTGGGACACGGACGAGCCGCATGCACGTACACGAAAACAGCGGCGTTTGTCAAGTTCCAGCAGCATTGCGGCGGAGAGACTTGGTCTAGGTCGCCTTTCACTGTCCTACTGACGTCTCGTGGTTAGTTGCTCTATTCTACTACGACTACAACTCAATGCCAGCGTGCAGCACGTTGCCGTACAGAGCGACCCAAAAACGACTCTACTGACACGCCAGGCCATGCACGTGACGAGGAAAAGTCGTAAGTGTTGTCCCTATTATACGAGGTTTCGGAAAAATGATACAGACTTGTGGTTTCATAGAAGCTTGAAGATTAGGAAATTGGACTCTAATTGTTTCTCTGCTTGGTTAATTTTTCTTACTGGGTAGAAAAAACATCGGTGTGTTCGTTGACCATTGACCTCTGACCTCTGACCTCTGACAATTGACAATGATTGATAAATGATTGATGAATGAATTTCTGATGAATCATGATCTATGAATGGTAACGATAGGTGATGATTTATAATGATTAATGATAACTGACAATGTTTCGTGACGATGTTCGATGGCGATCGTGACGATCGACGATGATTGGTAATAACTGGTGATGACTGATGATTCCTGGTGATTGCATGATGTTTTATAATAAGTTATGATGCTTCACGACGAAGCTTGATAAATTCCGATTCTTGATGTCGATTGATATTTATCGACAACTGACTTTGCCTGTTTAGCTTGCAATTAAAATTGTAATTACATGTTGCAATTTTATAAAGTTGATCGATGAGTAATAATTCAAAACATTTGCGTAAATTTGTTAGCGATTTATAACCTCAACGCCCCTAAGCGATCACCGTAACACTTCCACGGGTCGCACTCGGCGAGGTAATCGTTTTCACCGTGAAACGACCCCGCGTAGACGCGAGAGGGCCCCGTTCCAACAGGACGAAACCGAAGGAAGCAAAGAGAACACAGGGTCCTTCCGCGTCGAATCGTCGTGTCGGCCTTCGTCGAGACAATGCTGCGTGTCCTGTATCCGTGGCACACTTTTTGCCACCCTTTCACGGTCAATTGCCCTTTTAAAGCAGCTTTTTACCGAGTCGTTCGGTCCCCGTGTGTGTACAGAGCTCCGACCAACGAGACGGACTGGTCTTCGAGCGTCTCGAAAACGTATCACTAATCGTACCCCTCTTGCCAAACGTAAAAATTCATCGATTGCACGACTTTTTCCGAGCGGTTGTCATTTTTACCCAA